AAGATAAATTCATTTAATATAAATGATGGTCATGTAATTTAGTGCAATGATGGTGTAAATAATAAATTAAACTATATTACAACTATGGTTTGTCATTCATTGTTTGAATTTTGATCGTTTGCCCTTTGAGTATTCGATTGTTATACATGATAGGTAGATTATCCGGCTTATTATAAGTCATAATATGATAAACAAACAATAGTCAAGATTGTGCAATGAAAGATACAACTTTGTACATGGTAGGGATGAACACATTGTATTATTATTATTGAGGATATCAAAACAAATATATATTAGATGTAATGTACTGTTAAGATTTAAAAATGACGTGACTAATAAAAATATACAAGCCTTTAATTATTATTAGTCAGCAATTTTAGTTGTGTTTGTCTTAAACATTTATTATTAGGACCTATAGAATTGACAAATGATACCTAGTTAACCCTTACGTGTATCAACATAGTTATACCTATGCATTATTTTTAAATACTTAATTAAGTACCTCATATCGTTATACTACAGTCATAGTTAATATTCAACACTTTCATTATAAGACAATACATATTAAAATACAGTAGAACTTTAATAAGTCGAGAACTTCGAAAAGATGAAAATAGAAGCACAATAGATAACTAGAACAAATTTTCTGTATTTGGTTGATAATTGTGGTTTTTAAAGTAATTTATCTTAATTTCTGCTCGATTTGTGAGTGATAATGTACTTTATGTATATTACGTTTAGCATTGTTTGGTTTTAAAAAAAATGCATCGTAACTTAAAAACGCTTACTATCGGAGAAAAACAAAAAGTTATCGATGAAGTAAAAATACTTGAAATTTGTTTGAAAAAACTATTGATTATAACATCTGTAAAAGTCAAACTCAGAGTAAGAAATCCAATTATTTATTTTACAGATAATGTTATTATATTAATTTAATTATTATTATATTTATAGGTGTTTAATATAACAATAAAAAATTATACATTTTTAAAACTCCAAGTTCTTGTTTCCAAAACTTTAAAAGTTGAAAAATAATATTTTCCTTTGAAATTCTACTGTAGTTCTTATGAGCTACAGAAATTTAAATTTTCACCAAATCAGTAGAATTATTAACAATTTTTTCAAATTCCAACAAGTGAACCATTTAAATTGTTATTTTAAAAAAATCTCGGGATAGGCCAAAAATGGTGAATGATGTTGTTATAGATATTTACCTAAACTATTAACTAACTTGTGTGTACCACGAGTGATTTTTCGATAGTATTTAATTGTTTAATTATTAAGTATACGCTGGTGTAATCGCTTAGAAGGGTTACATATAAATATATATATATATACACACTTCTGTATTAGTGTTTATCGTTTTTAAAATTGGATTTGCTGTTGCACAGCAGCTGTCTTGTGTAGGTGGACGGGTTTATTGTCTGCTCTGTTTTTGAAACGTATTATTATCATGAAAAAAATATTTATATTGAACTATCTGCACGAAGACGCGCGGCAAATGTTATTAAAAATGGACTAGAATGTCTGATCCCTTTTTTCTTCCATCGAAATTCTAGGCAATCCTTTACTGCGTTTAAAATAGCGGTGGTTTTGTACGACGATACCCCTCCGGCAATGATGGTAGACTCCCTGTTTTTAAGAGTGTCAAATTATAGTATAATTGACCTCAAAATGTAATGAATACCTACCTAAACGTTCAGTATATCAATAAACATTTGACCAGATAATGAATTGCAGAACGTATAATCGAATATGTACGTATTTTTCAGTAGTCGTTAACAAAATGTCTATCCAAAAGGTATCTTTAGTTTTAATAACAAATAGTAGCTTTCAAATATGTTATGCTTTTAATGACTTTAGAGTAAATAATTTTGTTTTACGACTTCCGAAAAATCATAAAAGCTATTTCTGCACACTAATTAATATTAAATTATGAAGATATCATTCAAGTTGCTATAATGATTTAATGATTTTATAAGTTTTCATTAGTTATCATTCCTGAAAAAGCATCAAAGTAATAACAATTTTCTAGCGAGTTGGCTTTGTTTGAATAATACACAGAGAATTGATTTATCGCGGACCATTAAATTAATCCTAAAATAATAATAAAAAAACATTTTTTTGTTTTATATTATTTATTTCTCAATTATTAAGTGCTTAAATACTTTTGATGCCCAATTTTTATTTTTTTATGTCAACATACATATTTAACTAGTTTATTCAATAGAAAATGAATCAACTAAAAAAATGACTGATTGTTAACAAAATTTTCAACCAGTAGTTTAAAACGATTAACATGTTTAAATGTAGACTAAAGGTTAGGAGCGGGTTATGTTGTTATTATTATTGCGCATCACACTGCCGAACTACTGTCATCCAGATATAAAAATATTCATTACTCCTAAACTAATTGTACAATCAATCAACCATACATTTTTTTAGTTGGGTTATTATTTTTTATATGAATTAGTTAAATATGTATAATGCCATAAAAAAAATAAAGTTAGTACCCTTATAAAACAAAATAAATGGACATAAAAAATATTCAAGTATTTAAAAACTGAGCAACAAATATTGTTTAACCAAAAAATTTTTCAAAATTATTATTATTTTACGAGAAACTTAAATAATAAAGCAATCATTATATGTATTTTCAATTTTAATTGATGTATACATTTTAAATTTAAATCTATTATTAAAATTACTATTTAATGTGATAATGAATATTTCTACTTGAAAATATTTTTTTAGCTTTACAATATTGAAGCCTTTTACCGCAATTATACGTAAAAAATTATGAAACGTTAAAGGGTAAATTTTTAAAATCAATGAAGAACAGAAAGTACCTTTGTCTCACAATTGTCTTATTTTTAGTATTTTCTCTGTTTTTCAAAGAGCCCCGATGATTTTCAATTTTCTCTGATTTTATATTTTGTAGCTGGAATCAGTTACAAACTTAGGTAAGTCCTATTTTGAGTGGAATTTATGATTATAACTTTATGTTGTGCTAATATTGCCAATGATTTACTGGCGTGTGTAGGACTTTAACTGTGTCACGTTATATTAATTAAATATGTAACGCCAGTTTTCAGCGATGAAACTATAGCCGTAGGGCAAGTGAACTTTTTAATTGGTTTCGCTGCAAGAAAACTTTGCTGTAAATACACATACACAGACGCTTGATCTCGATGGCAACGTATTCCCCATGGCGTCACAACAGAATGATAATATTTAAAATTGCATCGTATATCACGGTCCCGTTTATTTCATTAGCCAACAGTGTGCAATGGTAGAGTGGAGAAGCCATAGGAGATGATAAAATAAAGACAAAAACTCTCATCCCCGTGAGCATTATTATTACCTATACATTGTATACATATACATTATACTTCTTCTCCGGCCGTTTCGCTAACTAATAATAATAGTAATATATTGCCAAGAGATCGTACCGTTGCTGCCGTCTCTCTGAACCCAAGTCGAATTTCCGCAGTCTTCTCTCGTTATTTACACCTCTTATGTTTCTTGCGGGGTGTGAACATAGGAAAAACAATACCACAGTCGGGGAGCACGTATCAAAAAGGCCAGAACGTCTTAAGAATTAACCGAACACCGCCCTCCCGTCCCCAACTGCAGAGTTTCGATGTTGTTATAAATCACTGCGATTTTCTCCGCCACCGTTTTTGATGGTAATAACCCCATACGCTGGTATATTGCATGTGGTATAATGTTATTACGGCACGCGTTTGTTGTTTGTATGGTTAAAGAGTGTGTATTCTTTGAAAAACCGACGAGAAACTGCTTCCTAAATAACTTTCGAGCTCTTTTTCTTAAGTAATCATATTATACACGAATTGCTTAAGTTCAACAAGTCAAAAATCAGCTTAATAAGAATATTGCATACGACATAAACAGGTGTAAATAAAATTCATAAAGATGCATAAATCTAAGCAACAAAATTTCGAAAATGAAAAAATTCTAATACCAATATCAAAAATGGCACTCGTGTAAACAACTTATTAATTACTCTCTTCTTACTGTTCAAATAAATAAACATTGTTTGTTATGATTTTTTTACTGTAATGATTTGGTTATATGGAGTTTTAATGTGATTGAATATACTTATTCTTTAAAAACAATATTTCCACTCAGGATAGTATTTAATTGGCACAAGAAGACAGTTGCTCCCGGCAGCATTATTTTAGGAGGCGGCATAATGAAAATGGTCAAACATATAAACATGCTCGTATAAAATTATTATGTTTTTTAAATTTTTATAAAATGTTATAAATTACAGTCGTATTTACTACATTTAATTTTTTAATAATCAATTAAAATGAATTTTTAACCTTAATTATAGTCTGTAAATTATGAAGTCTGTAAGAAATAATCCGAAAATTCCTATACGTCAGTGTGATATTTTTAATATAAACTTTATTTTACACTCAATTAGTGTAATTTTGATATAAAGTACCCAAATTCCACATATAAATATAACATTTTTTCCCCTTGCGTTGTATGCATTAAATGCACTTCTAAGAGGTGTGTGTGAAAATTCAGTCGTTTTTACCTACAACTGAACTTTTGTTTCATAATTTCAACGTTTAGTAAATAAATTTTAAATGTAAGAAATTTACCTACACTCTTAAAAAATGTATGAATTTTCACATACATTCATTGGAAGTTTATAACGCATACAATGTAAGGAAAAATTGGATAAATAGCAATGAAAATGTTAAATTTGTGTACGATTTTTCGATATATTATGTCAAAGTTATACACAACTTGCATGTAAAATTAACGCGCATATTAAAAATATACTGACGTATGGAAATATTCGAATCATTTCTTACTGTATACATATAAGTTAGTACACCCAAATAATATTTGTAAATATAATTTCTTGACGATTGTTACGCATTAATTATTTAACAATAATTTATATTCTAATATACAAAGTAAATATAAAAAAATTTCATAAACAAAGAATATTTGGCTTTACTTTGTTCATAATAGTATTTGAGTTAAAATACATAATTTTTAATTATTATGGAGATTGATTTTTAAACATTGTGATGATTAATCAACTATACTGTATCCCTTAGGAACTAAAAATCCAATTGGAGTCTTGCTTTTGAAAACATTTGTATGCCCGTTCTCTTTAAGTAACTTAGATTGAATATGATAATCAAACGGTTCTGGTCTAATTTCTTTGCTATTTTTGTACCTTGGTTCAGTATTATTAAAAGGATATCTTAAAATGTTAATATAGATTTAAATAATATCAACATTTGTTACATATAAATTAAATAATATTATTAGAAAATGTTTCGTTCTAGCTTACTTATTTACTTTAGAGGAACACAAATCTCTCCTCAGATTATAGTAATGAGTAGATGGTTCAAAGATAACTTTTCGGCTAAACTTAAATGCGGGTAATTCGTGGAATTTGCCAACAAATGTCTTTCTATAATGGTCCATAAGTTTAGGAGCCGCTGGTGGCCAGTAGTTTGATGTCACAAAAGAAAATCTTTTTAAATTATCATTCATGTGTCCTATGATAGTACTATCGTCTCTAGGACCTAAACTCAATCAATAATTAATAATAAATAATTTATTTCTAAAGTATAATAACAAAATACAAGTATTTTCATGACTTATTACTCTTTTTTTTAATTTTACTTAATTTTTATAACTACTAAGAAGTTGATATACAAGTATATTAACCACTGATTATTTCATACAACTAGTATACATGTAAACATTTTATTAAATTAAAGATAACTTAAAAATCTCTACCTTAAGCTTTAAAGAAATAATTTCAATTGCGTTCAAAATCAGTAAATATTCAATATAAAATATTTACAAAATATTTTAAAATACGTATATTATATTACTAAAGTATTTTATTTTAATATATTCTGTTAATAATTCCAATAAATATTTTGTTTTTCATTTAGTAATTTTTCTTTTAATAATAGAAAATATATTGTAATTATTTTGGTAAATATTGCATACTCTTCAATAACCTTATTATTTTTAAGTAAAATTATTTTTTCCATATTAATAATATTTTATATTTTAAATTATTGTAACCTGTGAAGATATCATAAGGTCCTCTAGCAGAAATTTTCCTTTCAACGAAATGTTTGATAGTATGATTCCTAAGGTCATAAACGTTTGGTGGAATTTTCCAGTCGTTTATATTTTTTTCTGACTCTCGTGACAGCTTGGAAAATAAACCACGTTTAAGGCCACAACTTTTGTTTAATGAAGAATCATAGTATGTATATAAACCTAATAAGTTGAGAACAATATATTTTCTTCAAATAAACTCGTTTTTGTTTACAATTAAAAATTTCAAAACTAAATTTTGCATATAAACCTGGACCCATCTTGTCATTTTTTGAGTTGTTTTTAAATCTCGATGAAGAAGAAAGGAACGCTTTTTTTTTTTTCATACACTCTATAGGTGTATTATTTTCTAATGGAGCATATTCTGGAACCGCACATTTTGTATTCTTGTATGTTTTACCCATTTTAATGAGTTATCTTATGTTTTCTATATTTAAGAAATAAAAAAATGAATTTAAATACATATTTTTGGGTGATTATTTGTATAGTATTTAAAACAAATCACGTTTAAAGTATGCATATAATAATATGGTATAATTGAAAAAATCGATACTATTAATTTGCAGTGCTATCTAATGGCCTTTAATCAAAATTAAAAGTGGTAATGGGTAATATAAACGCTATTTTTTGGCAGATCGTTATAAAGTGTATAATCTGAATCAAGTGTTATGGGCATTTTGAATTTTCATGAGTCGGCCTTTGATAACAAAATAACAGGTATTTTAATCACATTGTTTCGGCTTTTGTAGAAATACGGATAACGCCAAATTCTATAGAAACCTACGCATCCCAATGTTCCTTTTAATCAGTATGTTTTCACTGTCCGCGANACCTACGCATCCCAATGTTCCTTTTAATCAGTATGTTTTCACTGTCCGCGAATATCTACAGCATTAATTATTGATATCAACGCAAATGCTTAAGGGGAGGGACACATGTAACCGCACTGTGGACCTTATAAATAGTAGTTATCGGACAACAAATAATATTTTAGCACATGCATGCGGCGATTATAAGCGGACAAATAAAGCAAAGTTGAATGGTTTCTGTTATTTATCGTTTCGGTTGAATGGTCAGCTCACACGTATTGTGCATAGCGAATATATGTATGCCAGTGATTTATGGTCTAAAACTGACCCTTGCGCGGTTAGCCTTTAAATATATAATATTGTGCCAGCATGCACAAACCAGCTCTTGTAAGAGCCGTGTAAAATAATTATTATTGTTGTCAACATATCGATAAGCACTTCCTAGGAATATTAGAGTATAAGTTTGTGAGTTTGAGAAAAATCAATCGACGGGCACCAGCAAGACGGCCCTCGTGGTTTTTATGATCACCTTTACGAACGGCTGGAGTACTTAAAACAGTCGTTTATTTTTTCCTGTTTACTTTTGCTCTAGTTATAACCAACGACAATAGCCATCGAGTCTGATTTTCCGATCCCACCAGTACAACTTACAAAGTGTTTTCCCCTCCAAAAGAGTCCCATGTTGGTTTGTAATAAAACTTATTTTCAGACATCGTTTGTTTATTATTAACTAGTTAACTACACGTCTATTACGTGTCGCATACGGATCAATGAATATTTTTTCAAACATAATGATTTCAGGTATGTGAAAAACTAGTTTGTTTTTCTAAGGGTATAATATCGAAAGTTTTGCTTTTTGACTATTTATTGAAAGAGTATATACTTACGTGTTGTGATATTTTTTTGGTAAATTTGATTGAGACATCACGAAACCTTAAAGTTAAAATTCATTTTCATTTTTTCGTTAATTTTATGCAATTGAATTTCTTTAAACATTTTAAATGTCTACAATTTTACACCAACTGTTGTTTGGCTCCATGGAAACGGTTGACAGATGACGATAATAACATTCGAGTTAATTGCAGTGAATGAATAATTCGACAAATCTCTGCTGTGTCACCTCCTTATAAATGATCTTACCCAAAGACGAGATCAGCAGTCACCCCCCCCAGTCCGTGTCATTAAAATGCGGCGTTGAGCATAATCGGATTCGTCTGTGGCGCAACGTTTCCACAACACATTTTGTCGCCTAGCTCCTCTTCCGTTTTCCCTCCGTGCCTATTTGTAATTGGATTTTCCTTAAGGAGCCGATAATTAAGTAGAAAGGGTTTGTACACACTACGGCCAGCGCAGGGATTCCCGCTTGATCGCGAAAGACAAACATTTGTCTTGGGCCTTGTGCACTATGCTCTTCCGGAATTTAATGCGTTTACATTTGCCGTCTCATTGAGTCCATTATTATTGGTTAATGCGTGGCCAAAAGTGGCGCCGCTATGTACCCTACACTTCTCTTAAACAATGCAATAATAATTTATTCTCGTCCACAGTTCTTAGCTGAACAACCAATTTAGGCGGATTGTCATTGTTTATAAAATGCTCTTTAAACATTTCAGCGAGTGACCGAAATAGTATCATAGAAAATTACTTATTCTAAAATGTTTTTGAGAACAATATTTATAAATTTTAGAATAAAATATTATTGTTTTAAAAAATAATGTCATAATTGAATAAATTCAAAACTTTAATTGCAATAAAAATGGATTTATTACATTATTAATCAATTTAGAGAGACATTTTGAAAAAGGGTAAAACAAATAAAACGTTTATTACTCTTACGTGTTTACTTCTAAGTTGCTTAAGTAGGATTGACCACGATTACCTTAAGGAAAAAAATGGAAGTTTAAAAATACAGCACTATGCCGGTCCGGGGTAGGCGTGAGTATACGATATGGCGGGTTTGACCTTCGGGCAATGGAAAGACTGGTGGCGAGCCTCACTGTACACCCGGTCGAATTGGTTTTCCAATAGGTTTTTTTATTCTAATCGTAATTATAATCACGACCCGCCATTGACGAATTCCAATTATGAACTCGAATTTAACTATCTCGAGGAGTTGTAACCGATCAAGTATAATTTATTCCAATGGGGAACTGTTTCGATTCGTACAATAGTTCTAGTGAGGCTGAAAAGAAAAAAATTACACAACCAACGTAATAAATCAATTGTTTTTGAACGAATATAGTAAAAACAAATTTAATTACAATTAAGTTTTTAATTGCATTAAAATTTTATTTAAACTAAACTTTATTTGGAATTTTGCTATTTTTAGAATTTTTATTTAAAGAAGTCATTAAAGCCATTTTTTCCTATCAGATTTCGTAAGTATAGTTACAAAAACTCGTAAATATTATTAATTATATTATGAAAACTTTAAAAAAAAAATTACACGAAAATGTAAATTATTTTTAGATTTGTATAAAAACTTGGATTTTATATGAGTATGATGATTCTATTTTAATCAATTTTTGCAGTCTCAATTCTTTGGGATCATTACTTTGCATCATTATAAATTTTATATTTATTTTATTTACAATGTTTAAAAAAGGAATTATATCTCAGTAAGTTGTTTCTAATATTTTTATCAAACAAATTTGATCAAAAAATGATTAAATTGTACTATATTTTTAACATGTCACCCTAGGAAATACTTATTATTTTTTTAGATAAAATGTTTACCTTATAGCGATTTCCAACCATTTAATAATTTAATTTTGTTCAAATGACCGCATAGAAATCTAATAATGGTCACTCGTATTACTAGGAAAAATTATCTAACTCACGCTTCAAATATTTTATGTTCGTTTCACACTTACTCAGTTATAAAATCAATATAGTACAAAAAACCCAAATATGTGTGTGTTTAATAATATCTTGTTATTTAGTTAAATGTTATGTGACATGAAATTGCCTTCTGATTTTGCTAGCTTATAATAGATTAGTCTCTTCTTTTTGAGCATTACAATGTTAAACTACTTGAATTATTTACTGACGAAGATTGCAAAAATTAATTAATATCATCTCGATTTTGTGACATAGACTAGTAATATAGTTTAAAAAATATACATATTGAAAGGTACCCATTATAGTTTTTGAAAACTTTTCAAATTTAAATAATAATAAACTTTTTATTGAAATAATTAATTGATTAATACGAATAATTCAAAATGATTAATATAATATTTCAACATAAAACTAGTGAAGTAACTCATGACAATGTAAATGTTAATATTTCCAATTTTGAAGGTTAAATTCTGGCGATAATTATGTTTTGAAAGCAATTGATAAATAATTCTACTCTCAAAAACTCTTATGAATTTGAAAATAATACAAGATTAACAGGTAGTGTAGGAATTCGTGTCTATTCATAATAGTCCTTTTCTGTAAATCTTAAGTTGAGCAAAATTAAATTTATAAATTCCTATCTTTTTAGTGTTAGAAAAAATCAGACACTCAAGTATTAGAAAAGTGAAAACATTTCTCATCGAACGGATACTATTTCTAATGAGCTATCGAATCAAATCTTAAAATAAAAATCGAAAAAAATTGACCATTTTTTTCCTGTTCCCATCAATTTTATTATTCTAAACATCGGTTAGACAACAAAGTCTTTTTCGTTGAATAATATTATAATATTGAAATTAACAAGTAATTTTAAGTTAAAAACTTGATAACTGAAATTTTTTAGCGATTAAATAAAATGCATTCAGTGCCAGATATTTATGTTTGTTAGTACAATTTAAACCAAGCAGTTATCTAAAAACTCCGACTTCGTATAATTATTATAATTGAATCTCTAATTCTTCAATGTTATAAAATATGAAAGCGCTATTTGAACAAATCGAGTAGGTTTAAAAATAAAACCTGACCAATAGAATAGTTCATCATCGTGGTAATAATATGATTACCGACGTGTAATCGTTTGATCGATACCCTAAAGACGTCTGGGTAGAAATAATAATGAAAAATGCCTTCGTTCCGGAATCGAACGAAAAACAGAATCCAAACAATTTTGTATATGAATAAAATGGCTATAAATTATATTTTGTAGACATATATGCGTATAAGTGTAATAAAAGGCGGAAAAATAATGATTTCGATACAAGTAAGAAAAAATAATAATAATAAATACATATAAATATATATTAAGTACCCACAAAGAACAAGCGAGAGTTAGATAACGTCTCAAACGGTTCGAATAGGAACATTATATTGATACACCCATCCAAGTGTAATGTCTATAGGTCTGGACCATTTTTTACCATTTAAAATCAAAACGTGTAATTATCCCCCGCCCGTTGCCATCCGTCAGCTGCGCAATAAAAGATAATAATGTAATAAAAAACGTGGGTAGGAAACATTATAATATTATATTGATTGATTAGAAATGCACGATCGACTCCGATGATGACCGCAGCTTTAATTTATTTATACACAAATACTTACGATTTTAGTGGTAGAAATATATTTATACGATTATGATTTGACATCATACGCCTCGAGTGATGTGTACAACAGCCATTTGGCATCCACTGAATTATGTTCACTAATAATAATAAAATTGGGTTCTTATTTTATTTTACTTTATTTTTTTTTTTTTGTTCTTTGCGATGAGAAACAGGACTAGTAGTGGTCTTCAATTTAGAATAAACGACGAGTTATTGGCCCCGGCAGGTTTCCGCCACTATTACAACGTCCGTCTTAAGAAACGTTTTTCTGTTGCATTATAATATTATTATTACTCATTATAATATAATTCAAATAATGATCATAATAAGCAAAATTCAAGTTTGAAATATTTCGATTACCTTGAGATTCTCGTCATTGAAAAAAATTTCGGGACACAAATTAAAAAACATCTGTTTGATTTCAATTTTTTGTTCAAAGCGAGATCGTTTAAGAAATTCGCATTAAAGTATAACTTTCTTTGTTTCTAGTCGTCATCTAGCATAAAATATTTATTGGATATTCATTAACTAACACTATGATATCATGTTCTTTAGGAGTAAATAATAACAATCATTTTAGATTTATATATATTTAATATATTTATACGTACTGTGCACATTTTAATGATTTTCAGCGAACAATTTATTCATTAATACAATGCATAAATAATTATTCATTCGCTTAGAAGTACATAAATTATTGTTAATACTTATATTACATGTACACACACACATTGGACAAAGCCAATTAATAGCTTAGTCGATAATTAATATATAATTATAACATAAAAATTTATATATATAATATATTTATATTCTTATGTATAGTAAAAATTTACAAAAAAAAAAAATTATGAATTTTTTTACTGACTAACAATTATCTATTGTTTGTAATATTCATTAAGATCAGCATTTATCATTTTAAACTTTCTTTGCGTTTACATTTTCAAACGATTATTCTTTGGTTTTATCTACAACCGTACTTTAAAATTTATATTATAAAAAGTAATTAATGAATTAATAAAATTACATCGAGATTATTTAAACTTAAATACTTCTATACAAATGAATGTAGAACTTTTGAGTTCCAATTGGATCTTATATTTAACGAGTAAAAACTTCAATTAGGTATTTAAATGTCATTTAAAGATCGATAGAAAAAATTCGACACAATTGTAAAATAATTAAAAAGATAATAATAGTGCAACGCGTTGTTTGCTTAAGTAAATTAACGACGATGCTAAAATTGATATAAATACAAAAACTGAAGGAACTATAAACTATTATATTACATTTAAAAACGCTTCCCCCGAATTGTCTATTTTTTTAACAACACACACTTCCATATTTATAAATATGTAAACAATATAATATGATATACAAATAAATTACAATTAAACATAATTTAATCCTCTAAAAATCAGTCGGTACATTGGTTTTTATAATTCAGGCGTTGAAAATAATAACTATTGACCTTTGTTGTAAGCCATGACTGGTGTGGTTATTCTATTTTTTAGTTCGTTCTACTTTGAGATCGCAAAATATTAACATAATTTTTCATACAATACATTTTTCACTATTTCCTTTATACAAAATATATTTGCTTATCGCAAAACAACATTATTACATACCTAACGTGTGCAATGTTTATCAAAATTATTATTACACTACGATACAAATTATATAATAATATTTAACGCATCAAAGCCCATTATTTTACATAAATAATTATAAGAAATATTTTTAAAAAACCTTCACTAATTTTTAAGTACAATTTGTATACAATAAATAATGTACTCTGACCTATTATGTCGCAGTGCTGAACAGTACGGAATTGTTAAAGAATTTAGCTCTGCTATCTGAAAAATACAAATAATAAAAAATGGGTTATTAAAATTTTAATTGAATACTACAACGGATCGTAAATCATGTCTTATTTAACATTTGTAGGAACGCGATACTATCAAGTATTGTACAAGTAACAGAAACCCTTTTTAGGCTGGCAAGTTTCTTCGAATGTAATACACACACAGGACATATTAACCAGGTTTACAACTCAATTGCTGTCGGAAACAGAAGGAAACTGTATTCGCCTTTCCCTGGAGCTTTATGATTGATTGTTTTCTGAGCACACAGACACACTTCCTCAATACAAACACGTACTAGTTTGACTTCGCCGAGGGATTGGAAATTACCGCTGCCACTGACTAGGGCGGGGGAGGGTTCGTGGAAAATTGATATTCAACACGCCGTCGACGTGTACGTTATTATAGCACCACCACGGATATCGAACTTTCATTATTATAATAAGAAAAACCGTTCTACATGCAGAAATGACGAAGGCTGAGAGGGTTGAAAGTGGAAAGTTTTGAAATTAGAAAATAATAAAACATTAAGGGGAACGAACGACAAGCACTCGGTCGCTGTCTACAAGTGTGTTTTGCTTACGGCAATTAAAGAATAATACTGAAATTAGCCGTGTTCAGTAAATTATTCGTAGTTTTATTAAATGCGAAAACATCATTATGACACAAATAATAGTGAGATTCTATTTAGTTATCATGACGAATCTTTCGACATATTCCTAAATAATATAAAAGTTAAAAATTATGACACTACCTTGAGGTAGATATTTCAAATTCAAATGTTTAAATAAAATTATATAATACGACCAATTGACGATTAATTACCTGGAACGGGTGACTTTATATCTCTGTCCGAATGTTGACTCTGTTGTTGGTTCTGTTGGGCTGACTGTTGTTGTCTGGCTTTTCGTTCCAGATCGAGTTCCTGTGCAAAAGTCTCTGTAAAAAAAAACCAACAAAAACTGTTCACGATTTGCCCTTTGATTTACATTAAGACGGAAGCGAGGGTGGGCCAATCCGACTAATCGAATAGTCGGCAAATGTCATTGTCGGCGTGAGGGGTTATATTATTATGTACATGTATATAGACTAGAAGAGAAGCCTTCGGGCGTATCGTCTTATGCAAAACGCATCTATGCATTTATAATACGTTTCATAATGCGAATTTGCCCGGAAAACGTTTATGTACTGCTCGTGCATAAATCGGTTACCTCCCCAGCTCCATCATTGCCTCTCAAAGCACAACGTTTTTTTTTCTCGTCGCCGCTATAACCCGTGTACGTTTTATTATTGTTATTGCCTTTTACTGCGAGAACCAACCCCCTCGAGCCACGGCAACTACACATATTCGAGTTAAGTAGACTTTTGCATGTAAATTATTCCGATCGTCATCCAAGTCTACAACCGAAACGTTAAAAGAAAAACAACGATTCACATAGGTATGTGAAGTTGTGCGCGGCGTTAGCAGATTCGAGAAAACCGAAAATCATTCCAACAAACAACGCCGAAGGGCTGCTTAGTTTTAATTACTAAATTTGTGTTTCTCAATCACATACACAACGCACATGTTAATTACAACGGGGGTCGTGGGTATGATGATAATATCAATGATATACACGCGCTATAACGACTGCAACCGAAAACGACCGTAATCCGAGCTTAATTCAGTAGTATTGTATTATATATAAGGGTTTGTTGCTAAGGAAACGTCGTAGATTCGTCAAATTAGAGAAATAACCACTGCACGTTGAATACACAGAAATAATTAATATCTCGGTTCAATCCGATTCGGTTAACTTGTTTTAATAATTATAATGACGTACATCTTCCAAGCTTTGCATTGTGTACCCATCTATCAACAGGATCATTTTACTCTGGTGAAATGTTTGGTTATTATATTATTATGTACACAATGCGTCGGTAAATATCTTAGAATTATGTGGTTTCGCATAAACTGCGAGGGAAACAAAAGAAAACGCCGGTGTGGTCACAAAAGCGCAAGTTTTGTCTTCAATTAGGAACCACATAATGTGTTTTAAGAAAGTTTGATGGACTAAGGTAACTCGGGTATATTAATATTAAATAAACTACTAAGTATTTGCAACCGGACATTAAGCCGGATCATATAAGTCCAAAGACTATGAGGTTCTATACTATTATGTTCACAGTGATTTGTGAACGGACGTTCCTTATAACCAGACAGTAAGTTGACGTTTTCTTTACAATAGCGCTAAATTAACTAGCTGATGAAATTAACGGGAGTCAACTATGCACTATAAAGTTCTCCCCTCTATACTTGTACGTAGCCATGTCAAAATGTATTGTGCTTTTGACGATTAACATCCAAAAGCAACACTATCCAATTTACATATATATCTGTATTACACGGAAATAAATTAACACCCCGATAGCAAACAACATCTTTCATCGGAAAACCGACATTTGATAAATGTTTTAGATGGAAATAAAAAACGTGTTACTCCACTTGGATAAGACAAAAGGGGAATGTGAAACAGAGTTTAAAAAAAGGGTGCATAAGTATTTGAATATCCAATAATAAAAATAAACGTTTCCATAGATGGATAATATTTTTTCAAAATTACTTTCATTTTTTTCTTTGTCCCGAACGGTTTCCAATTTTGGAATGCATATGAAAAGAAAATATAACATAACGTCATCCCTATCCTATTGTTGTCCCCCAATAACCCAAATAATTTTACAACACGTTTAACCATTAAACTACTAGTATTTTTATCAGTATAAAGATATTTCATGAAACGTATTATTAATATTAACATGTTTTATGGATACGGTTAACAACTGATTAATAGATTTAACGTATTATTGGACGTGTATAATTATCACGCTTACCAGACCAACTTAAATCCCAATCAATGTATACGTACAATCAGTTTACAAAAATGACGAGAAAAAACGTCAGGTAAAATCCGCAAATTAAAAACGTACGGTCCACTAAGTAATTCAATTACTTTAATGAACTTTTCGGAGTACGGGAAAAAAGTACCAAACACATCAGTGCCTGACAAACCGATCAAATCGTTTCCCCTTCGACAAAAATACAGTATGCTGTGTCTGATGGAAACATCTACACGCAATTGACCGGTTAATAGTCTTTTCCCATCACATTTGAAATCGATTATTATAAAAAATATACACACAGCGTATAAAACACATTCGGAACGAAATAAAATAATAATAACAATGTGATGTTGTGATTTTTGACAATAAGGATACTCATATCCAATACAGGATAATATAATTGTACATCTATATGCATGTTCTGTACATTGGCCATAATAATAAAAGTAATAATTCTTTAAATATCATTGACTCTAGTCAACGACAAACACCGTGTCGAATTTGTCGATTTCTGCCGCCAGACGACGGTGAGTTTTGTTGGTACAATAAGTACAATAATACAGTGCACAGTCGATTTAAATTTGAAACGGTTTGATTGTAAAAAAGTCATTTCTCTCACAATGTAATATTTGTCCGTTGATATGACAGCAGAATAAAAACTATTGTGAATTCGTTCGAGTAAGCCAAAAGCTTGTTGGATGAACTATTTTTTTTTTTTGTCGCGTGGCTTGTGTGATTTACCAGCCAACTCAATGTTATAACTGCATAAAACCATCACACTACTAAAATCCTATACATTATTCAATTATTCAACATGACAGAACACTCTTTAGAAATTACATCAAGGTTGTCTACACCAAACATTCTTCTAAACGTATAGAAAAGTATAGTGATTATTTTTTACAATATTACTATTACTTTGCCCGACAGGATTCTGCATAAGTTTTTGTGATGTTGGATTTTTATGCGTTTTAATGTCTTTGTCATTAGTAGCTCTGTATAAATCTTATTTCTTTTTGTTCTTCCGTGCGAAATTGCTGGAGTGTCACGAAATTAAATTGTAATTCGTACAGTATACATAAGATATAATATTATTATAATAACGCCCAGAGCGGAGGAATATTAAATCGAGGATAGTCGGCACACTCGGGGGTAGCAGAGATATCATGTAAAAAATAAAATAAAAAATAATCGCTCCTTGCCGAAACGGCTCAACCGTGAAATTGAATAAATAACGTGAGCTTTTTTTCTTCTCTCTTTCCGACCTTTTGTCACGAGATGTGTTTAAAAAAAGATTATTTTCTTTTTTTTTTTTGTACAACCACTTAAGCGGATTTATCTGTTCACAACCAAATGGAACGTACAATGTAGATTATGAAGAAAATTTTAAAACTATAACAAAGCTCCAAATTTTATCATTTATAACACAAACATTTTATTATAAACATCCTCAACGAGGTAAAATCGATAAATTTTGAATATTTTTAATAATATGATCGTCTTGTGAATTTTTAGAGTAATGTCTTCGCTCCAATTTTTAATTATGTATGTCGTGTCTAGTTAATTTGGCACCAGCATGAGATTTAACGGCAACCAAAGGGTTTTACTCTTAAGGGTTGGAAAAACTAAATACACACCGGTAGTAAAGGGTCAATTTCCACGGCGTTTGTATTGCAGAGTATTGTGAGTTTTAGAGTAACTACAGTGAGGGGATTAACCTCGGTGTTTATTGTAAATGGAATTTCTGAGCAGCACTAGCAATGAATGTAGGGCGGTGGACGTCACATACACACGTTTATACTCACTCACACATAAAATTCTCATTACAACAAACCGACACATAATATTCCAAGTTTTGAATAATACGCAGCACAACGATAACCCTCTGAAAACACATACTCGGATAGATTCATGAATACATAACTAACCCGTGTGTTGTGGTTACAGAAAAATGTAAATTTGAAAAAAAATAAACAGAGAGAAAAGATTATTCTAGACTTAATCACGGTTTATGTTTGTTTTGCCGTTAAAGACAATTTACCGGTCCCCTTTCTTATGATTGAACATATAATGCGGCATGTTTATTATGACTCTTACCAGAATAGTTTTGCCAAAAGGCTGCGGCACCGGATGAGCTCATCAAGTCTAACCCAGAATAGTTCCATTGTTTTTCGCTAGACGTCTCCGATCCTCGTTGCCCTTGTCCTGAAGGATAGTTTGGGCTTTGCGACTGCTCTGATCTATCTCTAGGTTTTTCATTATTATTTTCTGAAATAATATTATCACATTAGCTTATAGTTAAAATATGGTATTATTTTTGGATTGAAACTAGAGAAAGTAAATAGAAAACAAATAACTACCTGTTAAGATGCGAAGAGCATCAGCTGGAGCACCAGCTGCTTTGATCATTTCTTCAAGTTGGGCTCTACGTTTTAGTTCTTGTTCAAGTTGGTCTTGTACACGTTTTCTAGCTTTTCTTTCTCTGCGTAGACGCTTCTGATAGATCACTGAAACAAATAAACGTCAGTTACTAAAATATAAAATCGGTCCTTTTCAATCAAATAACAATAATACAATACACGTTGTTATTATTTTTTTCCAATCATTGCCGTTTATATTTTTAATGGCCCACTGGATCGGTTAATATGACCGGACAAACGAATACGAGAATTTACCCTGCTGCCGTCTGTTACGATTCAACAAACAGAACGAAATTATATATTATTTTTTGCACATCACTGACCGCACCCGGGTGGTAGTTTTATCAAAGAATAATATACATCATATAGGAAAAAAAGTCAGACATCCACGAATATAAACACAAAAGGACATAATATTTTATACATAGCATATAAGTATTATTAAAGTATATTATACACTTTCAGTATACAGAAGACATGCGAATGCACCTCCGGCAATGAACAATAGCGATGATAGATCAATTCATATTTTATACAATTTAAAAAGAATATTAAAAAAATAAAAATGTTTAATATACAGATGGTAGAATTCAACGCAATGCCATTGGCTGATGGGAGGATTTTATGGGCAAGGCTGCACACAGATTCAAGATTGATAAATAAAATAATAATAGACATTCCAATAACGAAGGAGCACACCACTGCCGGTTCTTTAATTAACACTATCGCCTACAGTTTATATGCGTTCATCATCATATAATCGTTTCGAATATGATTTTGTTTCAAAAACATAGCTGGGTTTTGTTTCTCCCTTCCGGCTTTTCGTTGAGGAGTTTATACAATAGGTGTTCTCTTTTTTGTAGTCATTTAAAGCTGACTGATAAAAATTTCAAAAACAGAGTAAACAAAAAACAACCCAATGTGGTAGTGATTAAATATCTTCCACGCAAAAGTGCATTAATGCGAAAAGTAATCCAATCAAGGCGAAGAGCGGCAGGCGTTAATCGAAAACGAAGCGACAGTTCTTCTTTTCTATACAGTTATTATTTTACTCTTAATAATTTCCATTTAAACTTCAGACAACAAAAACAACGAGTGAGAACGGAAAAAAAACTGCCGAGAAAATTCGACAAGACGTCGTCGTCACGTTGAATTCTCGCATTTCTTTTGTAATTATTTTCTCCGCAAAAGAATACAATTAAAAGAGCCACCTCTGTCTCCGGAGACCCGTCGTCGTTGGTAATTGGACGACCTTAAATAGTGGCGGTGAAGTTTTTTGGCTTTGGCAACGTAATCTGTTTTCAAGAGGGTCTGGGATACCCTTCCAAAAAAAAAGAAGAAAATCACCCCCTCCTCACTAAAATTATCTTATGCATATTGTACGGTACATTTAACAAAAGCGGTCGTTAAAAAAGCAGAAGAGTTACATATAACCCAATGGTATGAATAAATATTGAAGAAAAAAATACCATGGGAGGTATTAAAAACAGATTTTTCTTCAAACAACTGCAATTATTATTCGTTGGTTGTTTTCCCTTGTCCGACATAAAATCGCATTAAGGGCTAATTTTTGTCCAACAATTTCTTCACCCTTTTAACGGCAGGAAATAAAAAATATTCCCCCGTGATAAAAAAAAAAAAAAAAAAAAAAAAAAACNAATGAACAACAACCACAACCCTTGTAATAATAGTTCTTATTTTAGCTTTTAACCTTGCGAACACAAAGCTTTTAACAGAATTGGCATGAATATTTTTGAGAAACGTCCATGACGTTAATTTAAAAACGCAATTATCAAGGAGCTTAACTTTGAATTATGCAAAAAGTTTTTTTACAAATTTTATTAACACTATAAGTGGTTGTCAAGAAAAATAAAACGAACATCGATCGAAACGGAAATCCAAACGACATTAGTCTCCGAACCGGTCAAGCATATATGTTTAAACCCAAGTAATTTTTTGAACGCATTGAACTGAAGAATATGAACCTGCTGTATAACTCAATCTTACAACCAGCTAACTCATGACAATTCTAATTTGTGTTTATCTTCTTCGCCGAAGGGAAAATGCACATAATAATAATAATAATAACAAAAATAAAATGCGAAAAATGACAGCATAGCCCTCGCTGTGAAAATCATATTAACTCCAGTGCTTGTCGTTTAATGTACCCGTTGTTATTCAGAAGCGGAAAAGGCGAAAATGATTTTTNTAACAAAAATAAAATGCGAAAAATGACAGCATAGCCCTCACTGTGAAAATCATATTAACTCCAGTGCTTGTCGTTTAATGTACCCGTTGTTATTCAGAAGCGGAAAAGGCGAAAATGATTTTTCCAGTCGTTTTGTCATTTGATAAAGAAATTGCATTTGGAAGCGTATAAACTGTTGATGGTGACATGAAGAGTGGTGGTTCAACAATGGTGGCGGGAAAAAGTCAATTTTTCCAGTCGTCGGATACGCCACCATCTCCTCCTTAACTCACAATTCCCTAGTCTTTCATATAGGTATACCAGTCATCTATTCAAGTGTATACAATTTTCGTGTCATTTACTTTTATGTGTGGTCTTATCGCCGTTGCGACCCCTAGAATAATAACAGGGTAATAATAATTCCTCCATGTGCCATATTGTACGGTGGCTTATCGTAAAATAAGCATATAAAATGACGTGTGTATGTGTGGATTATATTCAATAAATTCGAAATATATGTTTGTATATTTTTTTTATATTTGAAGCAGTGTTTTGATGGCAATAATAAGATTAATAATAATTTTGATATCGATTTTGGATTAGCTCGAAGTGCGCAATGTTAAAAATAGAACTTGGAGGGATGCAAATCATATTAATGTATATTTTGGCTTTAAGTCTTCAATGTACTCGAGAATTTCCGTTCTTCTTCTTATTTTCCTCTACTCATTTTGTCCAACGTTCCTTTGTATTTACGCTTTGCTAAGCCTATAAAAAGGGTGCGGTGCCGTCGCCCTTTTAAGTGAATTTTAAATGACAACACCCCGCCGTTGCTGTTATTGCCGCACCGTCTTTGAGCTTTATATAATTCGCGTTTAACACGACCTATTAGACAACAAAAAGTGACTGAGCCAGTCGAGGAGAAATCCCTTCCATAGTTTATATTTTGTTTTCCCTCCAAAGTGTTTATGCTCAACCAAACGAAAATTAAAGAAACATCTTTACAAGGTGTTTAATTTCAAAACAAAATATGCTCAACGAGAGGTTTTAAGCATTTTTATTATACAAAAGGTACACTGTTGAGAAAATGTTTAATTATTTATTGCCTCGTAAATATACTAGGTGTATTTTTCGGCTTAAATAGGTGTCTGATGTCGTGCGCGAGAGCAAATCATGGATAATTATTCATCCGTACTTTGTAATAAAGAAGTTACATCATAATGTTGTAGTAAAACACGTGTACTCAATTGACCGGATACCGAGCCCCATTTGGTTTTAAAATCGGTCCAAGAAAAAGCCGAGGGTATTTTCCTTATCGGTATGGACCGTCACGTTTAGATATATAAATTAATATTAATATCGGGTAATCAAGGAACATCCGGGTGGACTACGATAACTGCTCCGATCTAACTCTTACGACCATCGGGGTAATTACAACAACAAGGTACTTTAGGACGATAGAATGGCTGAACGACCGCATGTGTGCGTTATTGTTGGAGCGCAAGACGTCCTATCCTCCCTACACTGAATTTAAAGAGCCAACTTTTAAGTGACCTTATGGTAAATTCCTCGAGAAAACTATAGTTTGGTCCCTCGTAAAATGATTTCGGCCACATAATCCATGTATACGTGGCTATCCTTTGAGTAACGACTCTGCGCATAGTAATCGTTGGTACACTAATCCCAGCAACGGGCACAGAAACGCAATAGAAACGTGTCAATTAAAAACAACGTTTAAAGTGTTGTACATCTATAGCACATTATAACACAATAGGACTATTTAATGGATATATTTTATGGTCGAAATACGACACTTGGACTAGCAATAAAAAGAAAGGCGGAAATCAATTTCCCTGTCAAATAAATGTAAACTTTTATGTACTTTTTGAAACTGTCCCGTTCTAGTTTACACCTCTACCCTTCATCAAACGGCGATTTTAATTAGACAATCTTCTGCATACGGTATTTCAAAGAATAAACACGCTACATATTGTGTTACGTTTTTTACGGCTCTTTTTATCAGTTACTTGAATCAAAATTGAGCATACATCAACAATGCAAAAGGGCTGCATATGAGAGTAAAATTTGTAATTTTTTTTTCGGTTGGTTGGACTTGAATATGAATGAAAACACCGCAGGGGTCCGGCCAGGCGACTTTAACGACCTCAACAGCCGCCACTGGTCGGTTTCCACAAAAAGATATTGACCAAACGGAATGAATGGCTCTTGCACAGGTAATGATATACAAATATACACACTTTTTCAATAATCGTATGTACCGTCAGACGGTAATTGTTCTGCCCGAGCGCTGTCTAGTAACATGTTCGCAAAATTAATGTCATCGGAGGCGCTCCAAGACACCTACCCTCCGCCTCAGCACTTTTTGCACACCAAATCGTAAAAAAATACATATGCATAATATAGGACATACGCTTGCACTGTGCTTATACTTGTATTTTACGACCGGATAATAATAATCCATTTCGTTGCTTGTGTATAGCGCAATGATTTTCTTTTAATCAGTATACACGTGTATGTTTTTTACATCGTATCTTTATTCTTCACGATTGTAATTACAATATTTCATTATTTATTATAAATACCGTCTGGACCAGTCAATAAAACGTATAGCGTTAGTCATTTTGCATATTATACATGCTTGCAATGATCAATGTTTGAATAAAATTCGTATTAATCAAATAGAGATCTAGTGATATTTAAAATTATTTTAAAAAATGGATGATTAATATTGACAAATTTGTAATTAAAAAACCAGCCGAAAAACTTCCTAAATAAAATTTCTTTTAGCTTTAGAACACGCGTATGGCAATACATGAGGATTAATAAATAAATAACAAAAAATTACCTGAAAATAAAATCGACTCAAACGTGTTATTTTATG